TTGGGCCCGGGCTGGCGCCACGAGTTGGCGGCACAGGGGAACGAAGGACCCCGTCTCCAGGGCAACGGGCCGCCCCAGGCGCCTGACTGCGCGGCCCCTCAGCTATTCGATTCTTCCGGGAACGAGCCCCTGCCCATCTGCTCTCTCTTGCCATTCTTCCCCTGCCATCACCTTGGCCTTCCTGCTCCTCGAGACAGTAAGATTTAACTCAGACGGAGAAAGTAAAAGCCTAGGCAAAAGTTTAAGCAGAAACAGGGCATCTGCACAGTCTCAGGAGATGAGTCATTACAAAGGGGTGAGTTTACATTGGAGAATCCTGGCAGGCACCCCATTAACCAAGGGATCAAGGTTAACATCGCCAATGATAGGACATAGTGTTATCTATAGCCCTGTGGGGTGCACCCAGAAGGGCATCCCACTTCTGAGGTACTGCCACAGACCTGCTGAAAATGCATGACCTCAGTGCAGCCATAAGAAACATCAGGCAAACCAAAAGCACCGTGACTGCCTCTAGTGAAACCCATTTCAGACTTCTGTCCTTGAGAACTATAGCCATGATCAATTCGTGTTGTTCTAAGCCACTAAATTCGTGGTAATTTGTTACAACAATAAGCAAGTAGTAGCTAGGCTCTCTGAGGGCAGGGAGGATTGTTCATCCCACAGTCCCAGCGTGTAGTGCCTAGGGTGGTCAGTAAACAATTATTGAATGAATAAATAAGCTTTTCATGATAAACATCATTACCCCATTTTATGGATGAGTAAATTCAGGTACCCAAGCCAGTAAATGTCAAGCTGTTTGGAAACCTGACTCCAAAATGGAACTCTTTTCACCAACCCAGGCTATTGAATAAAATCCCAGGTTTTCACAGATTAAAAGAAGCATTACAGATCCCAATCTAATCTTATTTCCCCAAAAATAAAATACAGGGCCAGAGAGGGTAACTTACCCAAAGTCATACAGCTCCTACGAGCAGAACAGGGACTAGAACCTGATCTCCCAGCCAACAAGGACAGAATAGATGTTAAACCCTTTAACATTGTCATTATTAAAATACAATACAGGGCCCTGGCCGGGGAGCTCACTTGGTTGGAGTGTTTTCCCAAAAGGTTGTGGGTCCAATTCCCAGTCAGGGCACATACCTAAGCTGCGAGTTTGATCCCCAGTCGGGGTGCATATGGGAGGCAACTCTCTCACACAGATCTCTCTCTCTCTTTCTTTCCCTCCCCTCTCCCCCTCTCTCTAAAGTCAATATCCCCCTCTCTCTAAATTCAATAAACATATCCTCAGATGAGGATTAAAAAATAAAAACAATACAGGGAAGCTGTTTTGGCAGTAGTCAGTTGCAAATCTAGAGAGATGCACCAAGTCCCAAGGAATAAGCCAATTTGATTTTTTTCCACCAAGTGGCAATTATACTGCAAAGATATCCCTGAATTATCCTGAAAATGTCAGAACTTCAATTTCCCCTGAATAACTTCTGTCTCATTCACAGTCTCCCATTATGTACCTCACTCTTATTTCTCCCTTTCTTTTCTCTCTCTCTCTCTCTCTCAAGACTGGGGTCCTGATGACCCTTGCCTCAGTTCATGAGGCATTGGTTCCATTCCAGGAGAGGCAAGACAAGAGAAATTTAGGTTATTTCCCCCACATCTCATCTATTGACTGTTCAACTCTTGGAGGGAGGGTGTCATTCAGAGAGAAGTTTTCTATTGTCCCCTTCTCGGGCTCTAGAGTCCTGGCTCAGAGATTTTGCCTGGATGGAGAAGCAGGTAGGAAAACAGATAGCTCCTCATCTCTTTCCAAAGGAAATAACTTTATTTGCATCAGAGTATGGAGAAGTACAAACCTAAGAGCACCCCCAAAAACAATGGAGGTTGTGATGAAAGGCAAAAGTGTAGGCCAGCCATTTTCAGGAGAGGACAGGGAATAAGACAGCTGGGAGGAACTCTCCTAGGACTGGAACAAATGCCAATAATGGCTTCAAAAACTATTCCTTCAAAGGAGCCATATTGGATTGGGTTAGTTTTTTGTAGAGCAATTTATGCCCCAGAGCATTGTTGAAAATAATTGAGCAATCATATGCAATTAGTGGAGTTTAACAACTTGGTATAGTCAGGGAAAAAGATGAAGAGAGCCCTTAGCCAAATCACTGTCATCCCGAAGTAATTGGGTAAGCCCAGAGCTGCATCTCCCTGCAACATCTGAGGCTTTAACATTGTGAGAGAGAAAATAGACTTCACTGAAAGAATTCAGCCAGTGGACTTCCAGTCAAGATGGCGGCATAGGTAAACACATTACTCAAATCCTCCCACAACCACATCAAAAATACAACTAAGCACATGCCCAGGTTTCAAACTTGATTCCCAGTAGGGGGCATGCAGGAGGCAGCCAATCAATGATTCTGCCTCATCATTGATGTTTCTATCTCTCTCTCCCTCTCCCTTCCTCCCTGAAATCAATAAAAATGATAAAAACATATTTTTAAAAAATACTACTAATATTGCCCCAATCAGAACAGCAAAAAGAAAAAAAATCCAAAAATATAAAGTTAATGTAAGGTGCATCAGGGACAACTTCAAGAGTACCAACATTTGCATGGGGGGAAGGGGGTGGGTGCCGGAAGTTGAAGATAAAGAGCAAGAAATTAAAAACTATTTGAAAAAAAAATAATGGCAGACAACTTCCCCTACCTGGGGAAGGAAGTCAGCATACATGTCCAGGAAGCACAGAATCCGCCCCCCCCAAAAAAAATGAACCTAAAGAGGCCCACATTAAGACACATCATAATTAAAAAGCAAAAGCTTAAAGAAAGAATCTTAAAAGCAGCGAGAGAAAAACAGTTACCTATAAGGGAACTTCCATAAGATTGTTAGCTGATTTCTCAAAAGAAACTTTGTATGCCAGGGAGAGTGGCAAGAAATATTCAAAGTGATGTAAAGCAAGGACCTAAAACCAAGATTACTCTACCCAGAAAAGCTATCATTTAGAATAGGAGGACAGATAAAGAGCTTCCCAAACAAGAAAAAACAAAGGAGTTCATCACCACCAAACTAGTATTACATGAAATGTTAAAGGGTTTTCTTTAAGAAAAAGAAGGGAGGAAAAGAGAAAAAATATGAACAATAAAATGGCAGTAAATACATATCTATCAACAACTGAATCTAAAAATCAAAATAAATGAACAAGCAGAACAGAAACAGACTTATAAATACATAGAACATTTTGATGGTTGCCAGATGGGAGGGTGGGAAGGATGAAAAAGGTGAAGAGATTTAGAAG